GGTTTGGTAATGATTTTGAGCAATTTTGAGTATCCTTTAGAAACCAAGGAGAATGTCTTCATAGTTCAGTCATTGAAATGTAAGTTGGGTAGCTTGTAGTACATTAATGCGTTGCCACCTAAATCTGTTTTTCTCTTTGTGTAGTTATCACACCCCCACGAACAGAACTGATGGATGACTCTGAGACTCTCTTCCAGGTAAATGAGATTTTGATTTCAATAATCCTTAGTTACCTTTCCTCCTACCGCTACTGAAACATGGTATGATATGGAGCTATGAAGATTGGAGTGATGCAGGGCATGTGGGTTGTCAGTGAGAGTCCTACACAGGTATTGGCTTATTGTGTGAAGAGCTGCAAGGCCTACTGACATTAGCAACCAGTGTGAAGAGACTTTAAAGCCTATGTTCCCTTTTAAACACTGATCTGCGGTGATATAAACGCAACTTAATTTCGATAATTAGCCTGATAGAGTTTAAAGCTTGCCTCATTAAATTGTTAGAGTAGGAATTTAAAGCCAATCTGTTACAGTATACGGTACAGGGGAACCTAAATCCTAGGCTAGCCTTTTGTAATGGTCCCTACAGCCCCTAATGGCACCAGCCACACATAGATTGTTTGCTGGCTGAGTCGTCTTTCTGATGAACATTTCTGTACAGATGAGTGTGCAAGTAGAGTGGGGCAAGTTGGAGAACTTGCACAATTGGTGGCTGACTAAATACTTTTTTGCCCCACTTTATGTATGTACTGGTCCATAGATGAGGGTAGTGGGAGCACTACCACTACTGGGAGAACAATAGTATGGGTCCCAACTGTCCCTCATTTGGAGGGACTGTCTCTTCTTCTAAAAAAAAGTGTATGTCCAGCCACAACTTCTTTTCTAAAGCTGGTCATTCAGTCCTCGAATTTGAGCCAAGGCCTCCTGAATCGGCTTTAAAAGATAACTATGGGACGACCTTTTTTTGTCCATAGTTCTCTTCACGGTCACAGGAGGACATATTCTAATGTCCTCCTGTGACCCAGAACTCAGCGTATAGCGGGCTGTTGCCTGCTATAGGCTGACAGCGCACACCCGCAGCCGGAACCGACCCCGACAACACTGTCCAGATCCACCCCGCTGGCTAATTGGCAGCTGGCTCTGACCTGCCCTCTCCCTCGTCTGTTCCTCCAGTCAGCGCTGGAGAAACGAGTGGAGGGGGGGGAATCCTTGCGGGGAAGTGACTGACAGTCACCGCTCTCTGCAGGGAGATGATCGGGAAGTCAGCGATCAGCGATATGTGTTTGCTGACTTCCCGATCACAGGTCCTCTTGATTTATGGGTATGGAGTGCTTTTCACCTCAATTCTCCTTTAAATGCAAAGCCCGATTCCATCGCCACCATATTGGAGTTATGATCGAGCGATAACAAGTAATAGCAACATTCCGAATTTCAAGTTTTTGCACACTAAGATTTGCACATTTTCTAAATTTGGCCAAAAATAAAAGAAGAGTGAAACGCATGCCAATGTGCCGATACACAGCATTGGCAAGTGTCGCAAGATACCCCATTGGCAGATTAGAGGATGGGTAGAACCGGCTATGAAAACCTTCGGATGAAAGTGACAGGTGCATGCTACTCCATTCTCCTTGACGCATCCTATTTGTATGAGCTTCCTCGGAGGGATGCTGATCATCACCTTGGTATGTCTTTAGCCCTAGGATCCTGGTCTTCCCTCAGTCTTCCATACACATCCCACCGGTCACACTGTGCTTTTAGTGTGGTTTGTTTTCAGTACGGCACAGCTGTGCAGGTCTCCCCCATCCTCCTCTGCTGTAGTAACCTGAGCCCCCCAGGTTTGTGTGCTCAGCCTGGACCAGGGTCCTTGGAGGAGAGGGGGGCTTTGAGCTCTTGGCAGCTTGTGAAGGGGTCTTTCTTCTCGGTAACGCTCCGGCAGCGGAGCCTCTCCTGCCTCCTACTTTCATCTTGCTGGCAGCTCTGTTATTCTTGGCCGGCTTTCCATAACTGCTGTTCCTAATAGAGGCGCTTCCACTGAACCTTGAACCACTCAATAAAAGTGTCACCGGAGGAGGGAGGTCCTTCCCTGGGGCTCAGAGGGCAATAAGACGCATCCTGTCGTGAGGGAGACTGTGTGTTGGGGGGGAAGAGGGTACTTAGATCTCCAGGAGGAAGAGCAGACAGTCAATGTGACACACGCATTCAATCCCCTTTGCCTCGGATGTTTGCTTTCCTTAGTGGAAAGGTTTTTGGTTCTCGCAGATCTCCTGATGGCAAACAAAACACAACAATGCCTTTTTTTTTTCTCCTGCAGTGAATATATTTTTTGTTTGTCCATAGATTTATGAATCCATAAAAAGTTTTTTTTTTTAATATCAATTATCAGAACTGCATTGGCTGTCTCAACACTACACGGGGCCACTACACGGCTGCAGAAAAGGACACTTGCTCTCTATGTGGAGCTAGTGAGCTAGAGCTGTCCAATCAGCAGGGAGCATGGTTTTTGTTGATGGCAGTGCTATAGGTCTGAGTAAGCAGTGTGCGTGTCAGACTTCTGCAGAGAGATTGCTGCTTCCACACAGAGCCCTGGGATGGAAAACTCCGGAAGCATTATGCACCACTGTGTCTGCACCACCTCCAGCACCACCATTCCCCCTCTCACAATGATCCCTACTCTCATGCTGTCATGCTAACCCTAAACCCCCTCCCCAATGCAGCTGACCCCCATTCTCCTCCCCGCACAACAACCCCCACTCTCACCAATCTCTTCTATACGCCCTAACTTCAGTTGCCACCCGAATGACTTCCACCTCTGTGCTCACCGCTACTGTACCAATGCCTACTTCTGTGCTTGCCACCAAAGCAGTGGTGCACCTTTTCGGTATTCAGCCCGTTCAACAAATGGCCACAGTGTTGCTAGTAACAATTACAGCGAATGAACAATGTAAACATTCCCCGGCACTCAGTCTGACTATCCAGAAAAAAGACAACCTGACGGCAATCCATTTTTGTTTATCAAAAAGCAAGGATGTGTTGGCAGGGGCCATTGCTTGACTCAAGGACCACGTACAATGTTCTGGGCAGAGAAGAGTTGCTGCCTCTGAACTAGGATGCAGTCCATGAGTCGGGAACTGGCTGATTCCTACATTTTTTCCCTCTGGTTCCCCCAACTTTCCCAGTTTTACTGGATGCTATGGCCACGCCCCCTGCCTGCAGTGCGATCACCTGCACCAGAACATGTGGCACATCAGTGCCTGCTTTGCGGTCCAGTGTGATCTGAAAAAACGTAGACACTCATGTGCCACATGTTCTGGTGCGGGTGATCGCACTGCGGACGGAGGGCATGGCTGCGGTGTCATTGACTTCAGCGCACCGCCCCCTCCCGCCCCTGAACACAGAAGCTGGCCAGGATGCGCTCCAGTGCGTTCCAACAGCGAATCATGCTGAAAAGCACCAGGGCTGGTTGGAACCGGCCCTGGGGCCTACAGAACACCACCTCCTATTTTGCTATGAAGAGGAGAGGTAGAGAGTTCGGCTAACTTCCAGTCTGAATGTTATTAAGTACATTGTTCTATCTCTGAGGACAACAGAACACCTCCTCCTATGTTAAGGAGGAGAGATAGCAGAACCCTCTAACTTCCAGTCTAAATTTTATCAAGTACATTGTTCTATCTCTGAGGACTACACAACACCTCCTCCTATGTTATGGAGAAGAGGAGAGGTAGAGGGCTCTGCTAACTTCCACTCTGAATGTTATCAAGTACATTGTTCTATCTCTGAGGACTACAGCACATCTCCGATTGTTAAGGATGGTTCTGTAGTCTTGTCATGATTCAGTACAGTGAGTGGACATTGTCACCCAGAGACAGGAAGTGTGCTTCCTTTTACCGCCTGCCAAGCACGACATGCTGTTAAAAATTTCCCACAATGCAAAGCATCACATCCACACAGGTACAAGCTATTTTGACTTTCAGGGAGCGGAAAAAACAGGGATTAAGGTTGTTTTCGCCGCCCATGTGAATGAGGCCTTTTGGGTGAATGGCTGAAAGTCATTTAGCTTTTTATCATGATATAAAGAACTTTTAATTTCTTCCCCTTATATAAAACTTATTTTTATTGTCCTTTTGTGCATCATCTTCACTGTTTTCACCTCTTAATTAAGTTTCTTTATCGTTCATAACTTTGCCAGTTTGCAGTCAGAAGAAATCCTCGTGTTTTCGCAGGCTGACAGGAGGCCTTTTTGTCGAACACTAATAGTCTTTCTTTTCATTTTCTAATAATTAAAATGCTCGGAGCTTCGTCAAGGTCTCCGTCGGATTCCCCCTCTCCCGCAGACCCCCATAATTATAGCATTGATCGTTGTGGATGCCTGCGATTCGGTGCTCTGGTTCCCCTCCGCCGTTTCCCTGGTGGTTCCTTCCTGTCTGGAAGCTTTTGATCTGTGCTCTGTGAAGCCATCGCTCAAGCCTTTAACGTCATTTTCAAAGCTGGCTCCCCCTTTCAGATCCTCGGATGTGTCTCTAAATGTTTGCGTTTCTGGATACTGCCAGTCTTCCCCACTGGCCCTTTGAAGTGCGCTGCCTCTCATTGATCTTCAAACATCAAAACTAAACAGACCTGTGGCACTTTAATCAGCCCCCACCCTGGGATGGAAAGAATGCTTCACATGCCACCAACTCTTCGCTCCTCACGGACACTTGATTGTATTGTTGTTCTAGTACATCAGAGCTGTTTATGTCTCCAGAAACAAACATATATTTGCTGACAGATTTACAGATTACCATCCTCCTGTCACTTTAAAGGGAAACTTGTTTTTTTTTTAAGTTGCACACAAGGATGTGATTAGCCTAATGGAAATGTTATCCTTATAAATACTCGATTCCTATGTATAGATGGAAAGTATATATGGAGGTGGCAGCAGCTATTTTTGCTCATTACATATGCTTGCTTTGCTTCCTGCTTAGAAGTGCAGCACAGGGACTGTCAGTGCAAATCTATGGGGCAGGTCTGGTGTGTCTGAAACCAGCACAGACCATGGAAGGTTCAATGAGCTTATCTGAGCCGGCCTAAAGGAAAACTAGAATGGGGTTTCTTTCTCTCTCTCTCTCTCTCTCTCTCCTCTTTTTCTTTCCTCCCTTTCATTTTCCTTTCTTTCTTCCCCCTTTGTCTTTTTTGTTTTTGTTCATTTGTTCTCTCTTTCCTTC